TATTGCAAAAAAGCATCAACAAATTTGATACTAGATAAACTCCTCTATAAACAACAAAATTCCATGCTTCAGAAGTAAAAAAAACACTACGGTTCTGCACATTATATGAGTACAAAGATTTGCTGACCTGCACGTTTTTAAACTTGCAAAAAGTTGTATTTATTAAGAATCTAATTAAGCTAAACTATTTAAATTAATTAACCGTCGTTTGCAGCCTTGAAATGCAATAAACATTTGAAACTGATTTTCAGATGTGTGAATTGTGAATGTGTGTCCAAAGAATTAAAGTTACATCGTCTTTCCAACTAATTATTTTTGTTTGTTTTTATAAAACTTACCCGGCGGAAAATTGTGAGGACGTCTTATTGAATTTAACAGAGAGTATATGACAAATCCAATTAGAATGGTAACCAGAAATATTAAAGCACTCATCTTGACGATATCTGCGAACAAAAGTCTGATTGGAGGGCACAGCAGTCACAATACGTCTACACACGTTGCACGCTGTATGCCAACTAAAAGTAAAGCCAATTGGATATGCGCACTCGAGCACGAAAGAGCTTCGAGAGAGACTCACACATGCAAGCACACATACACACGTACACGCCCGACCGTAGACGCCGGCTTTTGCATGAATGTGGGCTCATTGATTGAACACATAAACATGATAAAGGAACAGTAATAATCATTTGATAACTATAGTTATATTAAATTCTGCTCTTTTTCGATACTCTCTGCAATGTGAAGAGAGCCGATACAATAAGTTTAATTAGCTCTTAGGGTGAGAAGTAATTTATAAAACTAAAATTGTAGTTTCTAATTATTTCTGTCAAAATAATCTGCTAATTTAACAAAAATTAATTTGGATTCTTAAATACTTAAGGTATTCATTTGACTTTAAAAAAAGAAAACAAATATTTCTCGGAAAAAAATATATTTATTTTGTTTAAATCGGAAATCCACCTATTTTGAAAAAGCAAACAACAATTTACATCAATAGTAAGTGGAAACAACTGGTACCAATAAATGGCTCACGGAAACTCCAATACCACTTTCCCATTCCAGATTTTATTTAGTTGGATTTCTTCCCATCGGGCATGGCCATATGCTATAGGAATACAGAATTCTTTGCAATGATATAGTCAATGTCATTTGTCCAGGGATTCTTGAAAGCGCGCCATTCACTCTGCAGCTGTATGTAGCCATTGTCCTTGCAGCGGAAACGATAAACTTGCGTGGTAACAGTCTCCTGCACCTGCATAACCATCTTATGGGATTCCACCAGAGCGGAAATGTCATCGTTGTGAAAGTACTCGTAGAAGCTGGTGCCCAATATTTCCTGCGGCAGGAAGCCAATTACCAGCGTAGCACTGCAAAGAGCCAGAGATCAGACGTATATAAATATACCTTACTCAAATTAAATAAGGACTTACCGTTGATCAATGAATAGGAACTTGCCCTCCGCAGAGTGACGTGAGATGAAGAGCACATGCCGAATGTTGGGATGGTTGTCCAGGGAGGAGGGCACACTCGAATTGAGTACGTTGGTTGGTATGCGTCCAATGGCCACGAGACAGGAGAGATTCGTTGTTTGGTCATCATTGTCGCCATCCTGATCCTCATCCTTAATGGGCATCCAGGATTTCAAGTAGCCCGTGCACTGTATTACCTGATATTTGTGGTCCATACTAAGCTTCGATTTGCGTTTGGTGGAGCTGCGCGAACTGGAAGATGTGTCGGACTCCTCCTTGATCTGATTGTTGGCGGCACGCAGTTTCATGCGACAAAAGAAGGAACGGCGAGCTCCCGGACACAGGCGACACAAGCTCTGTGGCACATCCGTCTTGACGGGCAGCATAGCTAAGCAAAAGAAATTTATTTAGATCTTGAAATTACTTAAGTAAATACTCACTTTTGGCATCGATCAGTCGCTCGCGTGGACACTGCTCAAGTGAGGACAGCTGCTCCTTCACCTTGCCAATATCCTTCGGGTGCAGGACATCGAACCAGCTCTGACCCAGCAGATCTGCCTGGGTGCAATTCAACACAGTCGAGACAGACTCCGACACATAGAGAATGCGTCCGCGATCACAACCCACAACAAACAGAAAACCCTCCGAGGCTTGCAATATGATCATCTTTAACTCCTGATCCGACAGGAAACTGGGTCTATAGTCGCCCCCATTATACGGATGCAGGCTGCCTCGTATGCCTCTCAAATGCTGCACAGCCATACGGAGCACTGTCAACTTGTCTAGCTTCCGCTGCATGGCAAAGCACATGGGTATCATTGAGGACAACTCGTTAATATATGTATTCATCTTATCGCGTCGCCGCTTCTCAATTTCACTGTGATTTTGCCTAAAAGGGAAATACAAATCATATTAATATAGTCTCATTTAAGGGGCATGTCATTTGTCCTACTTGCGATTTTCATCTGAGGTGCGCGCTGATTTCTCATCATCGTATGTGTCATCCTCCAGTTCATCCAAATTTTCACTGTAAGAAGAAAAAAAATAATAATAAGAAAAACCAACCCCATTAAATTAAATGAGGCAACTGTTGCTTGCGGCACTCACATCCCCTTCTGGAAAACACATGTAAAACGCATGCGAACGAGAGTGTGTGTGCGTGTGTGTATCTGTGTGGTTGTGTGTGTGTGTCTGGCTGTCAGTGAGCACTTAGAACTACGTAAAAATTCGTACATTAAATTCGCAATTAGAACTTACCTTATCTCTTGCATGACTTTGCTGTCGAAGTGTTGCAAATTTGCTTTTCTAATTTATGACTTTCAAATCAAATGCAATTTATTAATAATTATTTTTGTTTACAAACAATTGTAAGAAACCGTAGCGAACAATTGGCAAGAATTTGCAGTTTGACAAATGCAAGCTTTTCCGAAGGCTTAAGCTTTTCTGCCTATCTGGCAACTCTCCGCATAGCTGCATAGCAGGCTAAATGCACTTGCAGCAAAAAGAGCTTTTTAGAACATACGATTCATATTAGTTTACAATAAATATTTTTAATTCTTTTCAGCCTAATAATAAATTAATTGTAAAAAAAACATTGTCATAAACAAAACAAAACATTTTTCTTTAAACGTGATACATTCTATCTAAACATATGGTTATGACTTGCATATAGCGATCCCAAAGACAACGCGTTTCCTGGTCCCTATAATAATGGATCGTTAATTATATATGTATATTAATGCATATATTCCGCAACTCACCTAGATATTTCCAAATCTAGAACGCTTTGTGTTATTGAGGCCAGAAATTTGTTCACTTGCTCACGATTCCAACCATTTTGTCGCCAAGGCTCCACAAGTCTTTCGCAGAGATCGACAAATAAGTCGCGCAGCTCACGATTTCGATGCAGATTACACGCTATGGTGATTAGCGCACGCCAATATGACCGAAAATTATTATCCAACTCGTTGAAGGCGCGTTCCAGCAATACAGGCTTTAGGCGCATACAAACCAAACTGTAAAGTAAATGAAAAAATTTTTAATAAAAAGAATCAAATTACAATTTCAGTAACGTACTGCTTAATTTCCTTTTCTTTGTCTAGTAAACAACGCAGTTCACGTAAATCTAGCAGAAATTCTTTATCCATTTCGGTATCATAATATTCGGGTCCAGTGTGCTAAGTAAATATCAAGCTTTAAAGAATTAATTTATAATTTTCAATCAATGTTCTTTACTTGATATGTATAGGTCCAATATATCATGATAGAGTGTGAGCAGGTGAGCAAATCGCTGAAAGTTAAATATTGCAATTTCTTTTTGGATGTCTCAAACCGAAGGCAAGCCAGAAATACAATGCAGGCATATTTTCTAAGATTTAGAAAAATACAAATCAATTAGGTACAAAATATATTTATATATTCTACTTACTTGGCCAAGTCATTGGATATAAAGAAATGCTGCATTATATTGTTGGTCAACGTGCCAGGCATCTCCTCCACAGTACGAAAAATGCGTTTTACATTATCAAATTGACGACTGCACGTAGACGAATAGTATTTTATATTTTAAATAAACACATTTGAATTCATCTCAAATTACATACCGACATGATTTCAGCTTAACGCACGTTTTATCGCCAACTTCGTCAAGATCCTTGCGATAGCGGGATGTCAATTTTTTACCCAATATTTCACGAGCCACCACATCATCAATCGAGTAATATTTCTCGATAATTAGATCGCGTGTATGGTGCTCTAGTTGGAAACAGGATTGCTCCATTAATTTGGAGGGCGCATGCAAATACAGTTCAATCAGTGAATAGGTCCTATAATGATCCAAAACATCTGAAGCTATCAAATCAATTGGCGCACCCATTGAGTGGCCAAATCCTTTTTGCTTTAAGTAGCAAACCGCCTCGCTAGCTTTGGAATGAAAAACATGCAAAGCATTAATTTAAGGCAGAATGTGAACATAATTCACGACATACAGGAAAATCCTTCGATCCATAATTGATAAATTTCGGGATCCACTAGTGTATAGTTGCTTATAAAAACATCTACATCTGCCTACAAATGAAATGTCAAACATATTTCAACATAAAATCATTTGGTTGAAAACATTAAACTTACCATGTTTGTTATTATTATCAAAGAATTATCGAAGCACTCCTAATTAGTTCGATTGACATATTCGCAGAGTTAAAAGAGCGAACTGTGTCTTAAAAAACATGAACCATTTGTTTATTGCAAGTATTTTTTAGTTCAACGTGTGATCCACATCTTGCAGTCAAATCAAGATATTCGATTAATAAATAGGTTGAAGCGCATGCCCTGCAAGTCGATTTCAAAAGTAATAGTTTACAGTACTTAAAATAAACACAATATTTATGGCTTAGATAATAGAATTGGTAATGTAAGTTATTTAACTAATTAAAAATATACTTTGTAAATAAACATTTTCGATATACTAAATATAGATCCATCGAATAGCTATCGAATGAGAAGAAAATAAGATATCGATTATATCGATACATCGTTATGTTTCTTATATCGCTGCGGATATCAACTTTTAAGAAATGTAAAAATGTAAATTGCAACATATAAAAATTATTGTAAATAACCAAAAACAACGTGCACAATACACAGTCAATGTGAATGGTGTGCGCGCAAAGCAGCCGCAAACGCAACAATAATCAAAACAACAAAAACAATAGCAACGACAACAGACTTCGTAGTTGTCGTAGCCCAATTGCAATTGCAACAATTCGATGAACAACTTCACATTCATATCCAACAAACAGAAAACGGAAACTAATAGAAGCAGAAGAAGAGTGCATTTGTTTTATCGTGTTGTTGTGGTGCAGAATGGAACAGGATTCCTCAACTGAGCTGCATCTGAGCAGAATACGTGAAGTGAAAGATTTGGCCGCATTAACCGACGACGTGCGCGATGTTGTGAAAGAAGAGGTCACATTAGAGAATCACCATCATCATCAGGTAAATCAACACACAAAAACCGACTCAAATTGGCGTTGGCGGCAAGGGTGGTTCGTTGGCTCGTGTGTTTGCTCGTTAAATGGTTCCTTCGTGTCTTCGTTTCGTTGGATGCCCGCGCAGCCAACGCGCAGTTGTAGAACGCGCTGCCTACTGTTAAATATGTATACACATGTATGTGTGTGTGTGTGTATGTCTGTGAGTGTTTGTGTGGGGATGTGCAAATGCTTGTGTGAGTACATGTGAATGTGTGTCTATAAAACAAGTGGTGTGTGTGTGTGAGTGTTAGACAAGAGGGGGTTTGGTGGGGGCGAGCGGCGTACAGTTGAGGAGGTTTGCAAAAGAGGGCAGGCGGAGGCGGCGCAACAAAAATGCGCGCGGGGCTTGCGCCCTACACGGCCCACAGTGACAGTTCGAGTCTCAGAGCCAGTGCCAGAGCCAGAGCCAAAGCTAGAGCAAGAGCCCGCCACCAACACCACCACCACCACCTTTACCACCACCACCATCATAGCCAACTCCAACAACGTCAGAATTTGTGTGTGGCGCAAATTGTTGTGTATACCGATTTTCATTTTTCCATGCTGTGTTGTTTACTTACACAAACGAAATTTTCTTTGATTTCTTCCATGTTAAATTCCAAATAAATTATAACTGAAACATAAATAAAATTCAATTAACGCTCAAATTGTTGCTAATGTGTTAATGTGACGCCAACAACAATAACAACAACAACAACAACGTATAATCGTTGCAACTCTTTGTGACTCTGTAATGTGCGCTATGGTAATGCAGTTGGATACGAAAGTTCGCATGGTCACATCCTCCTCAAACGACAACAGCGGCAGCGGCGGCGGCAACAACGGCGGTGCGAGTGGCGGTGGCGGTGTTGTATCAGTGCCCGTATCATTGCCAATCGGTTCGATGATAACTGGAACAGCCTATAATGTGATTACGCCCGATCAGCTGCCGCACTTTAAACCGGTGCTGTGCGTCGACAACAATGGTTACCTGTCCAGCAGCACGGTCAGCATGGGCGCTGACCTAAAAACGATTGTCATACAGCAGCAGCAGCAGCAGCAGCAAACACAGACGAGCGTTAGTAGTAACGCCGGCAACACAAACACCACCGCCACAAATACCATTGGACTGAATCACGATGGCTCTGGTAGCAATAATAGCCATGACAGCATGAACACACTGGAGCATGCTGCTGGCGGTGGTGCTGGGAACACAACTGGCTCCACCGGCTGGGCGGAAACAACATCCAGTACACAGCACATGGAGGTCTTCCCGATACGCTGTAAAACGACTTCCGCCGAACTATATCGCAGCAAACTGGGCTCTGGAGGACGAGGACGCTGTGTCAAATATAAAGACAAGTGGCATACGCCCAGTGAATTCGAACACGTCTGTGGTCGTGGCTCGAGCAAGGATTGGAAACGGTCCATCAAATACTGTGGTAAATCGTTGCAGTCCCTCATTGATGAGGGCACTCTAACGCCACATGCAACCAACTGCAGTTGCACAGTCTGCTGTGACGACGAAGCAGGTGAGTCAGGTGAGAGAAGCTACTTCAAAACAACATCTATAAATAACCGCAAGCCCCATTTAAGTTTTCCAAAATAAACTTTAAAAACATTTCACTCGAAATGCCATCTGCTCGAGGCACGAGATTCTTATCATTTTATATGTATGTGCTTCGACAAGTCCATCAAAACAAGTTTTGCTATATTGCAAATAGGGATCGAATTAGGAATTGACATATCTGTTTAGCAGGAATTTAGACCCCAAGTTGAAGGCTATACATTTTAAAGCTATACAATGTGGGTTCTGTAAAACATCACAACAATCCCATGAAGCGATAATCAATAATAATATTCTCAATTTGTCTAAGTGAAACTCTCCTACATGAATTTAGTTAAAAGCTAAAACATTCCTCTACAAATTGCAGAATAAAATCAATTTAAACTTCTATTAACTCAGCCTGAAAATGTAGTAGTTAAAAATAGTAAACCTCATTGAATCTGATATGTAATCGATATCATTTTCACCCAAGGCAATCCTGTCGCATGCACTCGATTTAATGATATATTCCTCTGATCTTTGTAGCTTCTGGTCCTGTACGTCTATTCACACCGTATAAGCGACGAAAGCGGAATCAAACCGAATTGGATGTGGAGCCTGGGCCCAAACGCAAACGCAATACACATAGCAACAATAATAATAACAACACTAGCAACACTAACAACAACAATACAAGTGGCAGCAGCATCAACAACAACATCAGCAACAATATGGACCCAACGCAAGCAACCGCCACCAGTGTTGTGGATGATAACAACATGTTCTTAGCGGAAGACAACATAACGTCCAAGGATGAACCATGGGCGGCGCTCAATGACAGTTTAGATACCTCCACCGAGTTGGTTGACCAAACGCAAATGGGCAATCCATATGAGCGCGAAACGTTTGTGGTTAACATCAACGATACGGGCTCAATTGCCGTACTGGATGGTAGTCAATCGATGAAGAACATCGAGCACGTCTACTGCACCATGGTCAAGGCAACTAACGATTTCAAACGCCTGCTCAACGACATTAAGCAGAACTACGAGCGACGGATCGAGGTTCTGCAAAAGGAGCGCGATGCAGCGGTCTCAGCGATGCGTGTCCAGGTCCACACAGACATCGATGATCCCAACATATCGGGCTCATTGCATGGCAACGAGATCATATCGGCAAAGAAGGTAGACTCAAATAAATCCCAGCTTATATAAAGCCCTATTTACTATTTAATATTTGTACTTTTTATAGTGCGCCAACTGCAACCGGGAAGCGCTAGCCGAGTGCTCGCTGTGTCGAAAGACGCCGTATTGCTCGGAGTTTTGCCAGCGTAAGGATTGGAATGCTCATCAGGTGGAGTGCGCAAGGAATCCACAAACGACAACGCAACAGGTCATGTTATTGATCGATGATCAGTCCTAAGCAACGTAACGAATTGTAAATACAAATTTTACTACTAATTAATATATGATTATGCAAGGCTCCTATCCCAATCAGATAAAACAAATTCCTTGTCCAACCAGTAGACGAGACCCCTCTCCCAATATCCTTAGCAAGCCCTCCCATTAGACTTATGTCCTATTATAATGTAATTCTTAAAGTATATATAACTATATAAATATATATATGTATATATATTTATATATACATTTTACTATCGACCGTAGAAAAGAAAAAAAAAACGAAAACAAAAAAAAAATCCAAAAAAGAAGGAAAGAAAAAGTAATCCGAAAATTTGTAGCAAGCGTAAATCAAAGCGAGCGTCCATAATGGACAACTTAGCATAGCATAAATGGGAAAGTTTAGCTACAATTTGAGATAACGCAACAAAATCCGAAAAACTTTACCATGTAATTCAATTTAAATTAAATTAATAAATAGTTGCAAAGCGCATAGCATAACTAACAAAGGTCCCACAAAAAAATAAAAATAAATTAATTAATTAAAATCAAAAAACAAAATCCCTCGAAACAAATCCCCTCATTCCCTTCTCTGCTTGACAACTTTTTGCATAAAACGAAAGTATAAAAGTAAGAAAAAAATTAAGAAATAAAACAAATAATAAGAATCAACCAAAATCGAGAGAATAAGAGGAAATACAATACATATTCGTCTATGTATACATTTTTCATTAGACACTAAGCACATAGTTAAACTTTTAACATTTTACGATTATAATTTTATGGATCTACTGCCCGTCGTTACAAGCATCCAATAAAGATTTCAAAACAAAACAAAAGAAAAATAAAATAAAAATAAAAACGAAACGATGTGAAGAAAAACCAAACAAAACCTACAAACATTTACATTTAATCGAGATGAACATTTAATTATTAACTAATTACATAGTTACGTGTAAAAATTTCTGTGTCGTTGCAGTACTTTGTCCCGAACTCCTTTGTAAAGTTTATTGAGTCCCCTTCCCCCCTCCCTAAGAAGCTGTAACAATTTCTAGTAGTCTGTAGTTCATATGCAAACACATTCATATATACTTATGTATGTAGTATATATATTATATATATATATCTTTAAACAACTAGCTATATATTCCGGTTCACACACGCACACATACAACGAGTACACCCACGAACAAGAACTTCTATGGCTATTTAGCAAATATCAGTTACAGTGCGATGATTCTACGCCGATTCGTGGTTTTTTTGAAATCTTTTCAGATGTCTGTAACGGTTTATTCTTTCCAAATTACAACCACAAGAAACACGCAAACACTCAACACCAATACAACAGAACCAGCAGTTAGAGAGTGCGAAATATCAAAAGAGATGAAAGATAAGAAAAGAAAGAAATATATATACTTACATTTAAATGTACAATCCTTACTTTTTGTCGAAATTATTTTTGTTCTTTTCATTTTTGTGCTTTTACTGTATTGACAGGTAAGTAAATCATTAATGTTATTTCAGGACCGTCCATGTACGCAAATGCCCAGCCAGTCTTGTAACATAGCATACTTTTTGGATCGCACTTGTAGAACGCCAGTATAATTGTTTGGCTTTGATGAATTGATTTCACTTTGATTTTTGTTTGAATTTTGTGGCAATTTAATCTGACAGCTCAACTCACCCGTCTCCCTTCACAGTGCAGTTCCGTGGTGAAATTTCATTTCATCACGCTTAGGACAGCGTTCTCTAGCAACGTTATTCGGAGTTCTGGGTTGCTGTAGCTCCCCACTCAGCAATTGGCAATTATCTACCAAATAATTATTTGCATAATTAATTAAATATTTGTATGACAATTTAGACAGCTCCCCCGCTTATCGTTCGGAAATTTCCCCTTTTATATATAATTAAAAACACATTTATATAATTTAGTTGTTAGTCAATATTATGCACATGTTTCATTTATTATTGCATTTTGCATTACATATTATTAATATGCTTATTATTATAGTCTATTACCAAAAATAATTTCTTAAAACTTGTTTACTCGCTTTATTTATTTATAGGTATGCTTTAATTACTTTAAGTTTTGCTCGGGTAGATCCTTTCTTTTATTTATATTTTGTTTTTCGTTTTGTTTTAGCTGTAGTATATAATTCGATTTAATTTTCTTGCGTACCAGCGATAAATTTTGTTCGAAAACACACGAAACTCCAAGAAACTGTAAGAATAACTACATGAATATTCAGGATTGTAGGAGATAAGGGAACTTTGGGTGTGTGTTTGTAGGGGGTGTATACACTGAACGAAACCGACATTTAAATTACTGTTGTTTTCTTTTCGTGGTTAGTTTAGTAACTAATTTGTGTGATTGGTACATAGAATAAATGTGGGTGTGTTTCATAATTAATAAATACAAAACATACATATGTAGGTATATTAAATAACGTGCCTAAATATAAAACATTTCACAATTGTCTAAATAATAATATTTTGGATATACGTACATACAAATATATGAAATTGATTAACAAATTTCGCTGCTGCCCAATGAAGGAAAACAAATATATAATTTATAAACAATTGCCATATGGGTTATTCAAGTGCCATATTTCAAAACACAACGATTTGCAATGGGACTTTTGGGGAAGGATTAAACGGAGCCAAAAATTGTGGTGAATTAGTTAATTTAAGCATTTTAACTTAACTTTAGGCGCAAAACATTTATAAATACAATACATACATATTTTTCACTTTTCTTGCGTTTGCTGTGTTTTGTTTTGTTGTTCTTTTTCGTTTCTTTTTTGTCTGTTTGTTTTTTTTTTTTTTTTTTTTTAATCACAAATGTTAGCTATAGTATTTAAATACACATGTAGGTAAGACATTCAAAATGAAAATTAAGTTTTATAGCGATTGAGAATGCTCTTGATGATGGTGTTAGAGAGACTACGGTTGCAATTGTGGTTTCTGCTACTCCTGCAGATGCAGCTGTTGCTGGTGGTGGTGTTGTGAGTGGTGGTGGTGGTAATGATGGTGGCAAAGTGTGGCTACCGGCAAGCTGCGCAGCTTCATTCCAAATTTCGCACCTCAAAGCGCTTGTACGTGTAATTAATGAAGACCCAATCCTTGGCAATTTCACCGCCCTGCGGTACAGGTGCCGAAGCTAAACAACGGAAAAAAGAATATGGAACAGTTTAATCATTTAGAACCTATACGTAAATAGATAGATGCACTTACGTATCTCCAGCGAGACATCGGGAAATTCATCAAAATTGGACGTATCGTCAATGGAGCGCACTTCAACGGGTATTGCAGCTGGCCTCTCGCGAATATGTTCCCAGTCGACGCCGCGAAAGAAGGGCACCGACTTTAGATCCTCCAATCCTCGCTGCGAGCCCAAGCGTCGATCGGCCTCGCAACAGAAATTGATGATCGTCTCTTTGGCCTCCTCCGATATGGGTATTTCGGGCGGAAATATTAACGTTTCACGCCAATTCATCACCTTGCGATACGTGTCCTGTGGGTTGTCCGAACAGAATGGCGGATATCCCATTAGCATTTCGTACATAATAACGCCCAGGGACCACCAATCGCACGCAGGACCATAACCGGTTTGCAGGAATACTTCGGGTGCTATATAATCGGGCGTTCCCACTGTGCTATAAGCTAGAGCGCGACGATTTCGTTTCCAGGACTCTGCGCGCCGCTTAGAATCCATAGGACTGCACAAGTACAATACATAATTCCATTTACTAATTTGACTCCTTTATTTTACTTACCTGGCACAGGTGCCAATAAAATCGGATGGTTTCGCCTGCGATAAATCACGATAAAAATCCGTGCGATGTGACTTCTTCAAGCCCGTGCACAATCCGAAATCTGAGAGCTATTCAAATAAATGTTATAGTTAATAATATGTATGTATTGATATTGACATTGACACTGGATTTACCTTTAGATGCCCTCGCGCATCCAGCAGCAAGTTATCTGGCTTAATGTCCCTGTGTATGAAACCTAGCTTATGAATCGAATCGATCGCTAACGCCGTTTCACTTATATAGAATTGTGTGCACTCCTCCGATAGTGTGTCCTTCTTCATTAGCAGCGTCATCATATCACCCCCAGGCAAGAATTCCATTATCAAATATAAATTGACCTGGTCCTGTGAAGCATTTGGAAAAAAATAGGTTAATTGAAATTGAAAATGAGCTGCGATATTAATATTAAAAGACATATTACATTATTCACATATATATTAAGTATATGTGAATAATGTACTATGAATTCTTAATCAAAATATGGATCAAGAATTTTCGTTACTTTTCCCTCCATTTACATATGTCATACTTGAAAATGTCATAATGTAACCGGTTTGTATATAAATGTATATCAAGAATGCTAAATGGTTACGAAGCTGCGTACAAAAAATGTTGATTTCTTTATTATGGATTATTTACACACAAATGCACATACACACGCGAGCACATAGACACACATACACACTTACATATGCATGTGTCTGTATTTGCGTGAAAACTTTCACCAAGAACAAATCAAAACAACAACAGCAACAACAGCAATAGCAAACAACAACAAAGCACAGACCATATGATTTGGCAAGCGCTTTTGCGCTTGTATTGGTTTATTGATTTTCAACTGCATGTTGCGAATCGTGTGTGTCGTTTGCGATATTTGGTTCTGATTGCACTCTTACCTGAAAACTGTAGTACATCTTGACCACCCATTGGTGATCCGCTTCGACGAGAACATCGCGCTCAGCGCGTACGTGTGCCACCTGCTCCTTTTCGAGCATGTCCGCTTTGCGCAACACCTTCATCGCGTACACATGTCCCGTATCCTTTTTTTGCACTAAACGCACCTCGCCAAAGGCACCGCGTCCGATGACTTTCAATGCTTCGAAGTCTTCGACGCCAAGACGCAATCGCTTAAGACGCAAATATTCCGTCTCTTTTTGCGCATGCTGTAAGCGTTTCTCCTGACGCTGTGACTCTGTTAGACTTTCGTCCTTCAGCTGCGCCTCTAGTTTGGCCAGGCGCTGTTTTCGCTCGCCGTATTGTGTCACCAAATTGCTATAATAATTTTCCAGCGTCACCTTGGCCTTGGTGGCTTTGTCCAGTGTGTGATCGCTGAAACGTATGGAGGAGCCATCCGTGTCCGTTCTGCTGCTCATCATCTAAACTGTGTGTGTGTGCTGATGTTGCTGGCGTCTGTTTGTCTCTGTATGCGTGTCGTGGAGTTTGGTGTCCTTGCACGAATTAAGCACTTGCTTAAAGCAGACACACAGCTTGTAGTGTTGTATTGCCTTTTTTCCTTTGTAATTTATAAAATTGCTGCCTCTCTTTCGTGTTTCGTTATCGTCGTTCTTTCTTATTGTGCTTAGGGTTGATATCCATGGGGTTAATCGAATGTTTTTCAATCGAATGGCATGAGCTCATTTTTTATAAGAAGTTCAGTATTTTGTAAATAAATTAAATGCAGTCACTCTTTTTAAAAAATCGATAACGATAGATATGTCGCTAGAATTGGATATCAGCTGAGTGTCAATTACCTTTTGTTGCAAACTATGTTTTTATTTCCTTTAATTAACGCGCTTAAAATAATAAAATGGCGCGCACAACCGACTTTACGGATCTTAATTTCCAATGCCTACTGTTGATATTCAAGTTGCTGCATAACTTAGAGGATCAAGTCAATTTAGCACTTTGCTGTCGCAGATTTCGCGATGCATTCGCCTACCTGCACCGCCAACGATTCGAAGAAATAGTGGATAGCGACATAAAGCTTCGTAATTTAGACAATTGGCGTGCCTTTTTATGGATATGTGGTGCCAATGTCAAAAGGTTAACTTGCTATCGTGACGACGATCATCCG